CGCTTGGTAGAGTGCTGTGGCATCACATCTCACAGCAACCTGCAACTCCTGGGCTCAGGCAATTCTCTTGCCTCAGCCGCCCAAGTAGCTGGGACTACAGGTGCCCACAACTCCCAGCAATTTTTTTGTCGCAGTTTGGCCAGGGTTGGGTTTGAACCTACCACCCTCGGTATAGGGGGCTGGCGCCGTACTCACTGAGCCACAGCCACCGCCCAATTTCTTCATCTTTTTATATTTAAATAGGAATAATTATGATTTACCTAGGTAAGGCCCACACTCTTGGAGGTAACATTCATTTTTTTCGTTGCTAATTGTGACTTCCTAGTACCTGTATCTAAAAGCTTTAATGTTTTACTTAATTTCTCAGGGAGCACTCAACATCAATGATAGAACCATACCACAACCTCCTATTCTTCAGCTTTCAGTGGAGAAGCTGAGTAGAGATGGAGCTTTCCTCATGGATGCAGGCTCTGTGAGTATTTTGATTTACCCTGACCCTTCTCACTGTATACTACTGTACCATTTTAGTATTTGGTTTTATTCTCTATAATATTATTCTTCCTAAATAGTTTACACACTCTTTAACCTGTGTATAATCATGTATTACATAATGACATTTTGGTCAACAGTGGACCACTTATATTATAGAATGGCAGTTCCATAAGTTTATGATAGAGCTCAAAAATTTCTGTCAACTAGTTGTTACCATGCTATACGCTTTGTCATTATTTTAGAGTATACTCCTTATACGTATTAAAGAAAAAAAAGTTGGCCAGACCTGGTAGGTCATGCATATAATTCTGCACTCTGGGAGGCCAAGGCTGGAAAATCACTTGAGAGGTCAGTAGTTTAAGACCAGCCTAATCAAGAGCAAGACCCCTGTCTCTACTATAAGTAGAAAACTTAAGCCAGTGTGTGATGGCTTGCACCCATAGTCCCAGCTACATAGGAGGCTGAGGCAGGAAAATTGCTGAAGTCCAGGAGTTTGACATTATAGTGAGCTAGCCTGGGAAACAGAGAAGAAACTTATCTCAAAAACAACAACAACAACGGCTCAGTACCTGTGGCTCAAGTGGCTAAGGTGCCAGCCACATACACCCAAGGTGGCGGGTTCGAATCCAGCCCGGGCCTGCCAAACAACAATGATGGCTGCAACCAAAAAATAGCCAGGCGTTGTGGCGGGTGCCTGTGGTCCCAGCTACTTGGAAGGCTGAGGCAGGAGACTTGCTTGAGCCCAAGAGTTGGAGATTGCTGTGAGCTGTGATGCCAGGGCACTCTTCCCAGGGGGACAGCTTGAGGCTCTGTCTCAAAAAAAAAAAAAAAAAAAAAAAAAAAAAAACCAACAAAACAGGCATGGTCACTCACAATTGTAATCCTAGCACTCTGGGAGGCTGAGGAGGGTGGAATGATTGTACTCAGGAGTTTGAGACCAGCCTGAGCAAGAGTGAGACCTGATTTCTTAAAAAAATATATCAATGGGCATTGTGGTGGGTACCTATAGTCATAGCTTCTCTGGAGGCTGAGGAAAGAAGATCTCTTGAGCCCAAGAGTTTGAGGTTGCTGTGAACTATGACTTCATGGCACTGGTAGCTCACACCTGTAACCCTCCACTCTAGGAAGCCAAGGCAGGTGGATTGCTTGAGCAAGAAGCTGGAGATTAGCCTGAACAAGAGCAAGACCTTGTCTCTACTAAAAGTAGGAAAATTGAAGCAACGGGATCACTTGAGCCCAGGAGTTTGAGGCTACTATGAACTATGATGATGCCATGGTACTCTATCCAGGGCAACAGAGTAAGATTCTCTCTCTCAAAAAGTTAATTGGCTTTGCACCTATAGCTCAGTGGTTAGGGTGCCGGCCACATACACCAGGGCTGGTGGGTTCGAACTGGCCCAGGCCTGCTAAACAACAATGACAACAACAATAACAAAATAGCCGGGCATTGTGGTGGGTACCTATAGTGCCAGCTACTTGGAAGGCTAAGGCAAGAGAATTGCCTGAGTCCAAGAGTTTGAGTTTGCTATGAGCTGAGACACCATGGCACTCTATCAGTGGCAACATACTGAGACTCTGTCTCAAAAAAGAAAAGTTAACTGTAAAATAGCCTCAGGCAGGTTCTTGAGGAAGGTGGGTAGGCATTGTTATAGGAGATGACAGGCTGCATATATGTTATTGTGTCTGAGGACCTTCCATTGGGACAAGATGTAGAGATAAAAGATAATGATATGATATTGACCCTGTGTAGGTCTGGGTTAATGTATGTGTTTGTGTTTTAGTTTTTTTTTGTTTTTTGAGACAGATTCTCACTATGTTGCCCTCACGATAGGGTGCTATGGCTTCACAGCTCACAGCAACCTCAAACTCTCAGGCTTAAGTGATCCTCTTGCCTCAGCCTGCCCCTAGTAGCTGGGACTATGGGCGCCTACCCCAATGCCCAGCTGTTTTTCTTGCAGTTGTGGTTTAGCAGGCCTAGGCTGGTTTCCAACCGATTAGCCTCAGTGTATGTGGCTGGCACTGTAACCACTGTGCTACGGGCACTGAGCCTGTTTTGTTTGTTTTGTTTTGAGACAGAGTCTCACTATATCACCCTTGGTAGAGTGCTATGGCATCACAGCTCACAGCAACCTCAAACTCCTGGCCTTAAGCAATTCTCTTGCCCCAGCCTCCCAAGTAGCTGGGACTACAGGCATCCGTCACAGTGCCCAGCTATTTTTTGTTGTCATTGTTGGTAAGCTGGCCCGGGCTGGATTTGAACCTTCTAGCCTCTATGTATGTGCCTGGCGCCATAACCACTGTGCTATAGGCACCAAGCCCTTTTTTCTTCTTTTTTGAGACAGACTCTCAAGCTGTTTGCCTAGGCAGAGTGCTATGGCATTATAGCTCACAGCAACCTCCAACTCAGGCTAGTCTCAAACCTATGAGCTCAAGCTATCCACCTGCCTCAGCCTCCCAGAGGCAGGCTAAGATTATAAGCGTGAACCATCATGCCCGGCCCTGTGTCTTAGTTTTCAACAAAAAAGGTTAGAAAATTAAAAGAATAGTAAAAAAATTAAAAATACAAAAAATGGTTTTATTTTACATTTTACAGAATGCCATAGTGTCATAGCTGACAGCAACCTCAAACTCTTGGGCTCAAGTGATCCTCTTGCCTCAGCCTCCAAAGTAGCTGTGACTACAGGTGCTTGCTACAGCACCCGCCTATTTTTATAGAGACAGAGTCTCGCTGTTACTCAGGCTGGTCAGAAAGGCTTTAGAATAAGGATATAAAGAAAAAATACTGGCTCGGTGCCTGTAACTCAAGCGGCTAAGGCGCCAGCCACATACACCAGAGCTGGTGGGTTTGAATCCAGCCTGGTTCTGCCAAACAACAATGATAACTACAACCAAAAATAGCTGGGCTTTGTGGTGGGCATCTGTAGTTTCAGCTACTTAGAAGGCTGAGGCAAGAGAATCACTTAAGCCCAGGAGTTGGAGGTTGCTGTGAGTTATGATGCCACTGCATTCTACTCAGAGTGACAGCTTGGGCTCTATCTAGAGGAAAAAAAAATAAACAAAAAGAAAATATTTTTGTATAGCTATATATTTGTTTTTTGGGTTTTTTTGAGATAGAGCCTCAACGTGTCCCCGTGGGTAGAGTGCTGTGGCATCACAGCTCACAGCAACCTCCAACTCCTGGGCTCAAGTGAGTCTCCTGCCTCAGCCTCCCAAGTAGCTGGGACCACAGGTGCTCACCACAACACCCGGATATTTTTTGGTTGCAACCGTCATTGTTGTTTGGCAGGCCCGGGCTGGATTCGAACCTGCCACCTTAGGTATATGTGGCTGGCGCCTTAGCCACTTGAGCCACAGGTGCCGAGCCATAGCTGTATATATATATTTTTTTTTGTACAAAAGGTCTTTATTGGTGGGGGGAGGGAGGCTGTAGAGCAGCACCAAGGAGGAGAGAAAAGAGGGGAGAGAGATAAGGAGAGAGTGGGGAAGAGAAGAGAGAGAGAGTAGAGAAGAGTGAGGGGGAAGAGGAGGAAAAGAGAAGGAAAGGAGCAGACGCGTACCCTTATATAGAGAAGTCTCAGAATCTGTATATTTGTATTTTAAGCTAAGTGTTACTACAAAAGACTCAAAAAGTTAAAGAATATTAAAGTTTATAAAGTAAAAAGTTATATGAAGCTAAGGTTTATTATTTTGAGTGGTCTTCAGTGGTAAGGATTAATGACAAAAAAACATTTATTTATAAACTTAATGTGGCATAAGTATACAATGTTTACAATAAAGTCTGTTGTAGTGTATGGTAATGTCATAGGCCAAAATTCACTCACCACTTACTTGCTGACCCTTGCACTTTTAGTCATGCAAGCTCCATTGATAAGTGCTATATACAGGTGTTCCCCCTTTTAGAAATCTTTTATATGGGCTGGGCGCCTGTGGCTCAAGCAGCTAAGGTGCCAGCCAGGTACACCTTAGCTGGCAGGTTCGAATCCAGCTCAGGCCTGCCAAACAACAATAACGGCTGCAACCAAAAAATAGCCGGGCATTATGGCAGGTGCCTGTAGTCCCAGCTACTCAGGACGCAGAGGCAGGAGAATCGCTTGAGCCCAGGAGTTGGAGGTTGCTGTGAGCTGTGATGCCACAACATTCTACCCAGGGTAACAGCTTGAGGCTCTGTCTCAAAAAAAAAAAAAAAAATTCATTTATATGTAGTATCATATTTTTACTGTACCTTTTCTGTGTTAAGATATGGTTAGATATACAAATATTTACCTATTACAGTTGCCTATAGTATTCAATATGGTATCATGCTATACAGGTTTGTAGCCTAGGAGCAATAGGCTATATAACATATAGCTTAGGTGTTTAGTAGGCTATACCACCTAGGTTTGTGTAAGTACGCACTATGGTCTTTGCACATTTGTCCATCCACAACCTCCTTGTTCATGCCAAGCATAAAATGTCTCATCACAGTAAATACTAATTATTATTTATCCAGTTAAAGGTTGTACAATCTCACTGGATCTACTCATCCTTTTGATCTTTTAAAACAGTGATTCTCAACCTTCCTAATGCCACTACCCTTTAATACAGTTCCTCATGCTACTTCAGGAAGTAGCAACGAAAATAATTTTATGGTTGGGAGTCACCACCACATGAGGAACTGTATTAAAAGGTCCAGCATTATGAAGCTTGAGAACCACTGTTTTAAAACATACTTAGTGGTAAAGGCAAATCAGCAGAATTAGCATTTTGCTACATCTCAGAATAATTTTATTCCTGTCCCCAGGTACTGATGCTTTGGGTTGGAAAAAATTGCGCACATAATTTTCTCAGCCAAGTTCTAGGAGTTCAAAACTATGCATCGATTCCACAGCCTATGGTAAGACTTTTTAATTATAGTAGACTGGAAGGGCATTTCAAAGGTGGGAAAACATTAATATGCCACTTGAAATCAGAAAATAAGACTAAAAATTTTTCCAAAAGAGAAAATGTTCCTACATAGCCGGGCATGGTGGCGGGAGTCTGTAGTCCCAGCTACTCAGGAGGCTGAGGCAAGAGAATTGCCTAAGCCTAGGAGTTGGAGCTTGCTACGAGCTATGACGCCACAGCACTCTACCCAGGGTGATAAAGTGAGATTCTGTCTCTAAAACAAACAAACATAAAATGTTCCTACAAATTATGTTTGTCTTGCAACTGAAAGTACTCTATGTTTTATGGCATTCTTTAGATTACTTGGCATACTTAATCTGTTCTTAAGTATGTAAGGCAGTATTTTGTTTTATGAAGAAGCAATTAAGGTAGTTAATGACCAAAAAATGTAGTTTGCTGCAAACTACTCATTATAGTGCTTTGGCTTTTCTTTTTTCCCTGAGATTCACAATCAGCGTGATGTTGTGGCATTTTTTTTGGTTCTTTTATGGCAAGTGATTTCTTTCTTTCTTTTTTTTTTTTTTTTTTGAGATGGAGTCTCACTATGTTGCCTCTTCAGTAGAGTGCTGTAGTGTCACAGCTCACAGCAACCTAAAACTACTGGGCTTAAGCAATTCTTTTGCCTCAGCCTCCCAAGTAGCTGGGACTATAGGCGCCCACCACAATGCCCAGCTATTTTTTGTTTGTTTGTTTGTTTTGAGACAGAGTCTCACTTTATCGCCCTCGATAGAGTGCTGTGGCATCACAGATCACAGCAACCTCCAAATCTTGGACGTAGGCGATTCTCTTGCCTCAGCCTCCCAAGTAGCTGGGACTACAGGTACTTGCTACAACATCCGGCTATTTTTTGTTGCAATTTGGCCAGGGCTGGGTTTGAACCTACTACCCTTGGTATATGGGGCCAGCGCCCTACTTACTCAGCCATAGGTGCCACCCTCCAGCTATTTTTTGTTTGCAATTGTCATTGTTTAGCATGCCCTAGCTGGGCTCAAACCCACCAGCTTTGGTGTATGTGGCCAACATCCTACTCACTGAACTACCAGTGCTGAGCTTCAAGTGATTTCTTATTCTTTGGCTGGGACTTTTAAACTGCTTTTACGGTGGTGCCTGTGGCTCAGTGAGTAGGGCACCGGCCCCATAAAGCAAGGGTGGCAGGTTCAAACCCGGCCCTAGCCAAACTGCAACAAAAAATAGCCAGGCATTGTGGCAGGCGCCTGTACTCCTAACTACTCAGGAGGCTAAGGCAAGAGAATCACCTAAGGCCAAGAGTTAGAGGTTGCTGTGAGCTGTGACGTCACAACACTATACTGAGGGTGACAAAGTGAGACTCTGTCTCTACAAAAAAAAGTAAATAAAAACTGCATTAACCGTGGGCATGGTGGCTTACGCCTGTAATCCTAGTACTCTGGGAGGCCAACATGGGTGGATGCCCTGAACTCACAGCTTTGAGACCAATTTGAACAAAAGACCCTGTCTCTAAAAATAGCTGGGTGTTGTGGTCGGTGCCTTTAGTCTCAGCTACTTGGGAGACTGAGGCAAGAGAATCACTTTAGCCCATGAGTTGGAGGTTGCTATAAGCTATGATGTTACGGTACTCTACCAAGGATGACAAAGTGACACTCTGTCTCAAAGAAAAAAAAAAAAACTGCTTTGAAGTAAGAACTAAACTCATTGCCGCACTGGTGTACCTGACAATGAAAAGTGGCCAATGCCAGTTGAATTAATATTGATTATTGAAGAAAGTAATAATGGAATATATCACTAGCTATGTGATCTTGGACAAGTCACTCAATAGCCTCATTTGTAAAATAATAAGGCCAGGCACCCCATGTAATCCTAGCTCTCTGGGAGGCTAAGGTGGGTGGATTGCTTAAGCTCTCCTGAGTTCAAGACTAGCCGGACCAAGACCAAGATTCTATCTCTACTAAAAAAAAAAAATAGGAAGGTGTTGTGGCAGTGACCTATAGTCCCAGCTATTCAGGAGGCTGAGGCAGGAGGATCACTTGAACCCAAGAGTTTGAGGGTGCTATGTGCCATGACCCTACACCATTCTGCCCAGGTTGACAGAGTTAGACTCTGTCTTAAAAAAATAGAATAAAGTAATAAGAATGCTCTTTTTAGCACACACCTGTAATCCCAGCACTCTGAGAGACCAAGGTTATAGATCACTTGAGCTCAAGAGTTGGGAGACCAGCCTGAGCAAGAGCCAAACCCCATCTCAAAAAAAATAGCCAGGCCCTGGCCAGGCAAAGTGGCTGCCGCCTGTAATCTTAGCACTCTCGGTAGCTGAAGCAAAGCGGATTGCCTGAGCTTATGGGTTTGAAACCAGCGTGAGCAAAAGTAAGACCCTGTGTCTAAAAAATACCCGAGCATTGTGGTGGATGCCTGTAGTCTCACCTACTTGTGAGGCTAAAGCAAGAGGATTGCTTGAGCCCAAGAGTTTGAGGTTGCTGTGAGCTGTGACAGCATAGCATTCTATCAGGGGCAAGAAAGTTGAGACTCTCCGGCTCGGTGCCTGTGGCTCAAGTGGCTAAGGTGCCAGCCACATACACCTAAGGTGGCCGGTTCGAATCCAGCCCGGGCCCACCAAACAACAATGACGGCTCCAACCAAAAAATAGCCAGGCGTTGTGGCGGGCGCCTGTGGTCCCAGCTATTTGGGAGGCGGAGGCGGAGGCAGGAGACTCGCTGGAGCCCAGGAGTTGGAGGTTGCTGTGAGCTGTGATGCCATGGCACTCTACCCAGGGGGATAGCTTGAGGCTCTGTCTCAAAAAAAAAGAAAAGAAAGTGAGACTCTCACCAAAAAAAAAAAAACTTTCTTATGGAGGAGCAAATAAAGTTATCCACAAGAAAGCACTTAGGAAATTATATATAGCATTTGAGAAGTTTTGGATTATAATGTTAGAATTAAATTTTATTGTTATTCATTTATTTTTTTCAGACAGAGTGTTACTCTGTCACCCTGAGTAGAGTGCTGGGGCATCATAGCTCACAGCAACCTCAAACCCTTGAGCTTGAGTAGGCCTCTTCAATTTCCCAAGTAGCTGAGACTATAGGCATATGCCATTATGCTAGTCTAGTTTTTCTGTTTTTAGTAGAGATGAGATCTCGCTCTTTGTCAGTCTGCTCTCAAACTCCTGAGCTCAAGCAATCTACCTGCCTCAGCCTCTCAGACTGGTAGGATTACAGGCATGTGGTCTAAAGTTTGAATTAATTATAATAGATGTTCTTATTTAGTATCATATTTTTCATTTCATTTATTTATTTATTTATTTATTTTTGTTGTTGCAGTTTAGCTGAGGTTGGTTTCAAACCCGCCACCCTCAGTATATTGGGCTGGCGCCCTACCCACTGAGCCACAGGCGCCGCCCTCAAGTGTGTCATATTTTTTAGTCCGTATTACTGATTTGTATCCAATTTTAGACTGTGTTTAATTTCATCACTTTTTTTTTCTCTTGAGACAGTCTCAAGCTGTCACCTTGGGTAGAGTGCCGTGACATCATAGCTCTTAGCAGCCTCCAACTCTTGGGCGTAAGTGATCCTCTTGCCTCAGTTTTTCTATTTTTAGTAGAGACAGTCTCTTTTTGCTCAGGTTGGTCTCGAACTCAAGCAATCCACCTACCTTGGCTTCCCAAAGTGCTAGGATTACAGGCATGAGCTACCATACCCAGCCCTAATTTCATCACTGTTTCATACTGATATGTTTTATACTGATAGGTTTTGTGACTCCCTTCATAGATGTCATTAAAGAATTTATATAGTACTTAAAAGACATATCTATGTCAGGATTATAACTAGGATAAACACTAACTTTGAGATGTTGAGCAAAGCTACTGGATTTAGATGACTAAGCATTTTAAGTAATGAATAAACAAGAAATTGTCATATTTGTAATAATTACCTGAATAAATCAGTTGATTCTTAGGCCCCTTCCCAAACCTCCTCAATCAACATGTGCAGTTCAACAAGATCACCAGGTAATCATGTATATGTTAAAATTTGGCAAGAACTATAGGCCAGGAGAGGTGACTCACTCCTGTAATCCTAGCACTCTAGGAGGTTGAAGTGAGCCAGAGCCAGGCCTCACCTCTAATGATAACTGGACATTGTGGCAGGTGCCTATAGTCCCAGCTACTCAGGAGGCTGAGGCAAGAGGATTGCTTGAGCCCAGGAATTGAGATTGCTATGAGCTATGACACCACAGCACTCTTCCAAGGGTGACAAAGTGAGACTCTGTCTCAAAAAAATAAATAAAAATAAAATTTGGTAAGTACTGTAGATCATACATTAGAGATATAATTAGAATAAGTTGGATATTGTTGGTTTTATTTAACAGACAGACCTTCCACAACTTAATACAGCAGAATCTGCCAGAACAATAGCTTTCATCTCTTGGCTTAGGGATCAGAGACCATTTTTCCCAATACTTTATGTCATAAGGTAAGTCAAATTTTTCATTTGCTAGTAGTTAAACAGTTTGTTTCTTCTTGCAAGGACTTGTTTAGAATCATAGATAAATGTGACCTAATGCTTAAGCTAACCTTTTATACATTAGTGTAGGGAAAAAAATGAAAAAGAATTCTTCTCAATAAATCCTATTAAATCATGCTTTATAATCCAAGTATTAGAATAACTAGACCTTAACGACCTGTTAGTAATAAACTTAGCTATTTCTTTCTCTTTTGGGGTTTTATTTTATTTTTAATTGACATAATTGTGTATATTTTTGAGGTACACTGTGACCTTTCAATATATTTAATGCTGGTATATGCATTATGGAATGATCAAATTATGCTAATTAACGTACCTATCACTACAGATTTATTGCTTCTTTGTGTTGAGAACATTTATAATCTTTTTTTTTTTTTAAAGAGACAGAGTCTCACTTTGTCACCCTCAGTAGAGTGCTGTTACGTCACAGCTCACAGCAACCCCCAATTACTGGGCTTAGGCGATTCTCTTGCTTCAGCCTCCAAAGTAGCTGGGACCACAGGTGCCTGCCACAACACCCAGCTATTTTTTTTATTGCTTGGCGGGGGCTGGGTTTGAACCCCTCACCCTCAGTATATGGGGCCAGTGCCCTACTCACTGAGCCACAGGCGCCACCCTATAATCCATTCTTTTAGCTATTGTAAAATATATGAGATCTGGGCTTGGCACTGGTAGCACAGTGATTACGGCACTAGCCACATATCCTGAGGGTGGTGGGTTTGAACCTAGCCAGACCAGCTAAACAACAGTGACAACTGAAACAAAAAATAGCTGGGCATTGTGATGGGCACCTGTAGAGTCCCAGCTGCTTAGAAAGCTGAGGGAAGAGAATCGCTTAAGCCAAAGAGTTTGAGGTTTCTGTGAGCTGTGACACCACAACACTTTCCTGAGGACAACATAGTGAGACTCTGTCTCAAAAAAAAAAAAAAAAAAAAAGGGACCTGATGATTAAGTTTGAGAACTCATCCTAGAAAAAGTGCTACATATTTCATTTGTGAATATCACTGTGGTCACCAGTGAAGTACTCGCCTTGGGAAGTTATGCACCAATGCCAGCACCTTGTCTACCCTTAAAAGCCATTTTATAACTCTTTCTTGTGTAATGATCATCAGAGCTGCTCTCATATGGCACACAAAAACCCGCAATAATGAATAATGTGGTATCAAGAAGAATGTCATGTGTCAACATGAACACAGCTGTGAGATCCTGATATACCAAGATTTTGAAACCTTACTGAATTGTTTCTACAGTGCTGCCTATGTAAGCACATGGTGGCAAGCTTGTGAGTTTGTCAAACCCTCAGACAGCAGCTCAGATGGTCATTCTAGAAAGATTCCAAAATTACTTTGAATCATGAACTAGGTACTGTTGTTAGTGCATAGCTTCCCAAGGGTGTACTTTTTTGTTTGTTTGTTTTGAGATAGAGTCTCACTGTGTTGCCCTTGGTAGAGTGCCATGGCATCACAGCTCCCAGCAACCTCCAACTCTTGGGATTAAGCAATTCTCTTGCCTCAGCCTTCAAAGTAGGTGGGACTACAGGCACCCAACACAATGCCTGGGTATTTTTTAATTGCAGTTGTCGTTGTTTGGCTGGCCTGGGCTGCGTTCAAACCCACCAGCCTTGGTGTATGTGGCTGGCACTGAAGTACTGTGCTATGGGCGCCAAGCTCCAAGGGGTGTACTTTGAAGGTGACTATTGTGATATTCAGCAGTGAAGTATGTAGCACTTTTTCTAGGATGAGGTCATGAAATCAGTTGTCAGACCTTGTATGTCATTATTACCCATAGTCACTATGTTGTCTAATAGACTACTAGACCTATTTCTCCTGTGTAACTGAATTTTTGCACCCTCTGACTGACATCTCTCCTGTCTTTATCCAAATCCCCTCTTTCTTTATACCTCTCAGGTGCTGGTGATCATGAGTCTATTCTCTATTTCTATGAGTGCAACCTTTGTAGATTCCACATGTATAAGGAAGATGGTGTGATTTTTGTCTCTCTGTGCCTAGCTTATTTCACTTAGCATCATGTCCTCTAGATCCATCCATTTGCAAATTACAGAATATCTTGCTTTTAAAAAGCTGAATATTTAGCTGGGCATTGTGGTGGGCGCCTGTAGTCCCAACTACTGGGAGGCTGAGGCAAGTGAATCACTTAAGCCCGGTAGTTTGAAGTTGCTGTGAGCTGTGACAGCACAGCACTCTAATGAGGGTGACATAGTGAGACTGTCTCAAATAAAAAATAAAAAGCTGAATATTATTCCATTATGTCAGTATATCATATTTTTAAAAGCCATTCATCCCTTCATGGGTACTTCAGCTATTTCCATATCTTGATTATTGGAATAATGCTTTGATGAACATAAGAGCACAGAATCTCTTTGACATGCTGATTTCAAGGCTTTTGTATATGTACCTAGAAGTGGAATTGGTGGATCAACAATTTCTCTTAATTCCACTATAAACTTTTACCCCTGAACAAAATGAAGTTTATGTAATCAACCAAACATTCTCAGAGAAAGCTTCTAGAAGTAAGTATTTGTATGATAAATGTTAAGATAGTTATCAGAGTAAATCAAGAGCCTTATGACAGGGTGGCGCTTGTAGCTCAGTGAGTGGGTCCCCAGCCCAATAGACAGAGGGTGGCTTCAAGTCTGGCCCTGGCCAAACTGCAACAAAAAAATAGCTGGGCGTTGTGGTGAGTGCCTGTAGTCTCAGCTACTCAGGACACTGAGACAAGAGAATCTCTTAAGCCCAGGAACTGGAGGTTGCTGTGGGCTGTGATGCTGCGGCACTCTACTGAGAGCGACAAAGTGAGACTCTGTCTCTTTAAAAAAAAAAAAAGCCTTCTGACAAATCCGCTGTTTATTTAACTATTACATTTTGTCTAAATTTTTTTGCCTTTTATTCTTAAGGGATGAGAGTCCAATGAAAGCAAACTTCCTTCAAAACATGGTAGAAGACAGAACAGAATCTGCATTATCATATTATGAATTCCTCTTGCATATACAGCAACAAGTGAATAAATGAACAACTGAAGAAATTTGACTTCGTTATTTCTAAGAATGTCATGATAATGCAGAATATCTAGGAATGTGTCATACCTTCCTTTTCTATCAAGTTGGATTCAATGTGATGATTAAGATGTTCTCACTGTGATTTCAGCAAACTATAGCAAATAAAGAACCACAGCAGAGAATCAAACATGCAACTCTGAAATACTGTATTTTTCAAATCAAAATATATCTATATATGATTGAAAACTTTTTTCCTTTGCTGCCAATTATGTTTGAGTTATCATGGATTGAAGCAAGATAAAACAATGTTGCTGAGGCAAATACTTTTTGTAAAATAAAGATTTCTGTGTTCCACATGTATATTTCTCATTTTTTATTTTTCTGAATTTTTGGCTGCTACGTTTAAAACCTCACAAGAAGCCGGGCATGGTGGCTCATGCTTTTATAATCCTAGTACTCTGGGAGGCTGCAGCAGGTGGATTGCTCGAGCTCAGGAGTTTGAGACCAGCCTGAGCATGAGCAAGACCTTGTCTCTACTAAAAATAGAAAAACTGAGGCAAGAGGATCACTTGAGCCCAAGAGTTTGAGGTTGCTGTGAGCTATGATGATGCCACACCACTCTCCCCATGGTGACAAAGTGAGATTCTGTCTCAAATAAATAAATCCTCACAAGACTAAGTGTTGCAGGGAATTTACAAATCCATTGATCTTTCTAAAAATCAAAAATTAGAAGTCAATAGAATGTAGGAAAACTAGAATTCATTCCCATACCTTTTTTCTTTCTTTCTTACGGACAAGTATTACCATGTGAAAGTAGAAGTTGAGTAAACTAACTCTAGTCTAGCCTGAGAAAAATATGAAGTAATAAATTCAAGCTTTAAAATCTGTCAGTATTCTCTATACTTGAAGAACAAAGTCACTTTGAAGTGAACACTATAATGAGGTGGTTTCTTGATTTGGCTGCAAAAGACTTGGACGTACTGTGTTATTCTTCAGTGAAAAGAATTTGAGCTGTCATTTTAAATACCCATATACTGAGATTGGTGATGATAATAAGGAGATGAAAAACTTTAGTTATCTTGATTGATCCTTTAGGTGGGTTTTTATTTGGTACATTTCTGCTTTGGATGTATAATAAAAGTTTTATTTTGGTGAAATGAGGATGGATGAAAGAAATTCAAGTTTTCTTTAATGCCATCTCAAACGTATCAGTAAAATTGTAAGGAGGTTAAATTAAATTGGAAGCACTTAGAACAAATACTTACTCTTGAATATTAAAACCTATTAAAGCATGACTGCTGTTTGATTTGATAGATGTTAAAATCACACAAATCTAATATATTGAAGTAAGAAAGAAACTTGATTTCTGAACATGCTCAGAGACTGCTTTTTGATTCAGCTAGAGAAATAGTTAAAACTATTGAGCAAATTTTGTTTACAAGTAGGTCAATTATACATCTGTATATTTAAAGTGCTGTGATATAGTATCTTTTTAAGAGATTTTGAAGGCCAGGCATGGTGGCTCACACCTGTAATCCTAGCACTCCGGGTGGCAGAGGCGGGTGGATTCCCTGACCTCACAGGTTCAAGACCAGCCAGAGCCAAAGCGAGACCCATCTCTAAAAATAGCCGGGCGTTGTGGCAGGTGCCTGTAGTCCCAGCTACTTGGGAGGCTGAGGCAAGAGAATCACTTTAGCCCAAGAGGTTGAGTTTGCTGTGAGCTGTGGTGCTACAGCACTCTACCAAGGGCCACATAGTGAGACTCTGTCTCTTAAAAAAAAAGTTTTGCTCATTTTTCAGATTCATCTTGTCTTATATGAACTTCTTAAAAGATGTTCATGTGTAATACTTGATGAAAAGGGTTTTTTTGTTTGTTTTAATGAGTTAGAAAATGTGTTTACAATCTTGGTTTTATATGATCACCAATGAAATAGTAACTTTCAGGTTTACATCAATACGAACTGACTTTAACTGTGTTGTGTGGAATAGGGAAGAAGTAGTCCCTCTAGAATATATAACTGTTTTCCAGCTAGTTCAGAATAATTATGTTTTATAAAAATACCTCCCTTAAGCAGTGTTAAGGTTTGTTTCCAGGGTGCAAGTAGTACACTGAACTGGAAGTTTTCTTGAAGTCTGTTTCATTTATTAGGAAGCAATTTTCAAATTGTAGCTAATTAAAGTTTGTATTTCTCCCTCTGTTAAAGAAACAGTTCGTTATGTACTAATATCTTAAAATAACTAAAAAATTTTCTTTTTAATGTCATTTTAAATGTTGATATTTGTAGGTCCTTTCTTAATAGTAGTAAAGAATCTTCCAGAGGGAAACATTTATGCTTTTAGGGATAATCTTCCTTGTGCCTCACCACATCCCTAAGTGGCTATGACTCTTGTTATTACCATCTGCTTTGTTAGTATATTTCACAAACTTACTTTTACAAATTATTTTAGATATTATGTAATACGTGCAATCCAGAATGATTTTATATGTCATAAAAAAGAAAACTTTACTTTTTTTTTTTTTTTTTTTGGCCGGGGCCAGGTTTGAACCTGCCACCTCTGGTATATGGGGCTGACGCCCTACTCCTTTGAGCCACAGGCACCGCCCTAAAAAATAAAACTTTACTTAGGATTCATAATATTTGTTCTCTAGATAATGAGAAAATGAATGAGCCTTTTAGGGATATTGATATAAAGTGATTATTTTTTGCAGTGTTGAATGTGTTTTTTAGTTTGATTTCTTTTCCCCCTTTGGGCAATAGGGACAACATGCCGTATCATCTTGTATTACTTTTTGATGTAAAGCAACTAATATTTACACTATGCCATATTTTTTTTTATCATAGTTGTAAATTATAAAAAATCCTTGAATTTTCTATAGATCTACAACTACTCAAGTAACAGACAAGGGCAATCTTGGTACTTAAATCTGAGCATGGCAGTTCTACCATAAAAAGTACTCTATTTTTCTAATTTCTAGAATTTTTAAAATGACATTTATGTAAGTCTGACATACTAATATTCACTTAAGCAGTACTATTTATTTTAGTTTGCATATATTTTCATTGTTTTTAATTTAATGTATTGAGTCTAATAGACTGTTTTGCAATAATTACAATAAAGATTTATTTCTTCTAATCAAAGATGCATAACAGCTATTATCTAGGGGACCACCAAATGTGATTTCAAGATTTTGTTAACTATTACAAATGTAATCCTTATATAGAAATTTTAATTTTGTAAAGTAGTGTATAATATTGTAATATTAAATTCTTGTTCTCAAATTTAATTATGTATTGATCCTCAGCGTTCTGTGTTAAATCTTGCTACTCTGAAATGTTAGAGACAAGATTTGTCTTCCTTTTTACAGTTTGTAATTTTCACTGTTTTATTCCTGTAAAAAAAGTCATTTGTAACCATGCAAACAATCGTTTGATCTGTGCTAACTTATCAATTTGCCTATTCAATAAAGTTAATTGAAAGAGCTTACATACAGTTGTTTAAAGTGATATGAACAACTTGCCAATCACTCAGTAATGCTATTTTGTTCATCCTGGTCAAGTCAATGGTAAACTATTGTTGAAGGTGCTATAGGTGTCTGGGAGGTCATAACCTGAGATCTTAGTGTTCATTCCTCTAGGATATCTGGATTTGAAATTCTAGATTGAAGTTTCCTTGATAGTGATCCCTTGTCTTCTGGACCCTTTTGTTACTGATAAGATGATGACAGCTGTCATTCCAGTTCATTTAATGATATTCTCTGTTAGCTTTTTTTTTTTTTTTTTTTTTGGCCAGGGCTGGGTTTAAACCGGCCACCTCCGCATATGGGGCTGGCACCTTACTCCTTGAGCCACAGGTGCTGCCCATCTGTGAGCTGTTTAAGATTTTTATTTTGTCCACAGTGTCTTATAGTTTTATTACTCTAGGTTTATTGTTTATCCTACTTGCTATTTAGAGCACACTTGAATCTGAAGATGTTATTATCAATTCTGAAAATTCCCAGTCCTTTTCAAATTTTTGTTTTCTTATTCCCTCTATTTTCTTTTTTTGTTTTTTCTTTTTTTTTTTTGTAGAGACAGAGTCTCACTTTGTTGCCCTTGGTAGAGTGCCATGGCATCACAGCTCACAGCAAACCTCCAACTCCTGGGCTTAGATAATTCTCTTGCCTCAGCCTCTTGAGTAGCTTGGACTACAGGCACCCACCACAATGCCTGGCTATTTTCTGTTGCAGTTTGGCTGGGGCCGGGTTTGAACCTACCATCCTTGGTATATGGGGCCAGTGCCCTACTCACTGAGCCACAGGCGCTGCCCTACTTATTTATTTTTTGAGACAGTCTCAAGCTGTCGCCCTGGGAAGAGTGCTATGGCATCACAGCTCACAGTAACCTCAAACTCTTGGCCTTAAGTGATTCTCTTGCCTCAGCCTCTCGAGTCGCTAGGACCACAGGTGCCCGCCACAACGCCCAGCTATTTTTCTCTGATGTATGTGACTGGCACCCTAGCCACTTGAGCTACAGGCACTGAGCCACACTGGTTCCCTTTTTCACTATGTCCAGATTGGAGTTTTATCTCCTCTACTAAATTCTGTGTTTGTATAATTACACTTTAAATTTCTAAGAAAACTGTACCAGCCCCATATACCAAGGGTGGTGGGTTCGAACCAAGCCTTGGCCAAATTGAAACAAAAAATTAGCCCAGTGTTGTGGTGGGCACCTGTAGTCCCACCTACTCCGGAGGCTGAGGTAAGAGAATTTCTTAAGCCCAAGAGCTGGAGGTTGCTATGAGCTGTGACACCACGGCACTCTACCGAGGGCAACAAAGTGACACTATATATCAAAAAATCAAATAAATATATCAAATATATCAAAAAAATAAAATAAAAAATAAATTTCTAAGAAAATTAACAAATATATCTATAACAAATAGATATATCAAATATATCAAAAAAATAAAATAAAAAATAAATTTCTAAGAAAATTAACAAATAGGCCTGGTATAGTGGTTCATGTCTGTAATCCTAGCACTCTGGAAGGCAGAGGTGGGTAGATTGCTTGAGCTCAGGAATTTGAGATGAGCCTGAGCAAGAGTCAGACCCCATTTTTACTTAAAAAAAAAAAAAAAGGTTACAAATATATGTGTGTGTGTATTTTTTATTGTTGGGAAATAATTGAGGGTACAAAGACTCAGGTTACACTCTTAACATTTGGTGGGTAAAGTCCCTCTAAAAATAGTGTCCCATCCCCATGAGGTGTGTCACACACTGTGGCCCCACACCACCTTCCTATTCTCTCTCCACTCCCCGACCATGTACTAGCATAAATTGTCCTCATATCAGAATTGATTACATGGATTCTTGCTTCTCC